TACAGCTGATCAACTTTCAGGATTCTAGTCTTAACATTCCCCACATTAAAAGCTCACTTGAGTACATATACTTAAGTACTTTCCAGATGTCATGAACCGATGAAATTACTGATTGAAGTAAAAGAAAAAGGAGTCATTCAGTACCAAAAATACTGGCTGACAAGATGACTTCAGACCCTTGCATGATCAGCCCGATTTTATCATCTCTTCGTTGGCTATCTGTCAGGTTTTAAAGCTTTGAATGGTGCTATAATCCATAATTTTTAATAGACAGTCACAAAATTCCAGCCATCAAAATCCACAAAAAGAGCCTAAAAGATATTTTGTATTACGTACTTCGGAGTAAATATTATGGCATGACTTAATTTTCATTTAAAGTGGGCAACCAAAATCTTGGATCCTGTAATTTATATGCATCATTTAACAGTGGCAGCGATACACATAACCAAGGTTCGACAGTAAATCAAACTGTTATATATAACCTTACAATAATGCCAACTCAAAATTGCATGCAATTTTATCCACATATCAAATAATGACACTGTAAGCGCTAAATAAATCGACTTGGCTTTTGTTGCGTTGAGTTCCTACTGTCAGGTCTGTAAATTTGTTACAGTAAATTGTTAATATTTAATTTTAGATAATTAGTATTACTCGTACTAATTTTGAATCATTTGACATTTAAATGATATTTAAGCACAGGGATGTGTGAAACCAAGAGAATGAAGAGGTTAATGGTCTCAGAGTACGTAGAATCCAAATATCCTTTTAATTTGAACAAAATTTCCCCATTATTTGCTTAAACAAGTTGCACGCATGTTGACACTGTAGTATGTTGTGCACACTTCATTATGCACAAAATAAATGTCATATCTGCCTCATAAAGAACACAGACACAAGCATATTTTACTAATTAAGGCAAACAGAGACATATGTTCAAATGAGCCATAAAAGCAAACACTGGTTATTGCACGGGACAAAACTGGATGGGTTATGACTGTGACATTGTCTGATGCAGTATAATTAACTATAAGCAACATATCTGTGTGTGTTTATTTAGGGCTGACCTTAGAGGTTTATGCAGCATAAGCTGAATTCTTTTAGGAGGTTTCTTTGCAGTTTAGGGTCATGCACTTTTTGTGTGCATGATTCAAAATGTACACCCCAGCCCAGCTTCTACCCAGCTAACGGAGGACATGCTCAAAACTTTGGCTAATGTTCTGACAAGGTTCTCTCTAAATTAATGGGTTACACTTTATTTTGATAGTCTACTTTTAGACATTTTACTAACTTTGCAACATGTCATCTTACTCTCATTAAAGTGTTAATAGACTGTACTTATAGTCAGTAGAATGTGTGTTGGGGGACCATGAGTGTTTTCAGATATAGCAGACATCCACTCCTCTAATGACTGCTAGTTGAAATGTAGTTGCATGTCTAAGGTGGACTATCAAAATAAAGTGTTACCAACAGTAACGTCAAAAAATTTTTTTCAAAGTCATCTGGTCTTTAATAACATCCTCAAAACATTAGCTATTTAATGCTACATCGTTCATGGAGGTTTTTTTTTTCCTGAAATGTTTTAGTTTGACACCCGTCTAACATAGCCTATTTAAACGTTACAACTTACTAATTGTTTCAAAAAGTTCCGAAAACTTTCAAATGTAACGTTCCCACAACGTTTGCGAAATGATAATGGAATGTTCCCTCCGTGTTTGACCACAACCATAACTTTTTTTAAAAAACGTTTAAAACTTTTTGAACATTTAGACAACATCTAGAAATAACGTTTTCATCCCTTAATGGGATCTTAGAACATATTTTGTATGGGTATATAAAAACGTCCCTGCCATTTCCAAATATGCTATTCTGTGTCTACAGTATTTCTGATTTGCGCTGTATTAAGCAGTACAGAAAATACTGACTTAAAAATGTTTCTGCTGCTACATGTAAACGTCTGAAACATGTGTTTAGCCTATATTTGACAAATGTCGCATCTAAATCCACATCTTCTGCGATAAATAAAGCAAACACCGCAAGAGCGTCACCACGGCACGAACTGTCAGACTTGACGGCTCTGTTTTCAATTACTCTCCCGACTGCAAGAGGCAATTAAAATAGCTTTTTCCAGTGTTAACTCCAAAGGTAGATAAATCCAAAATGAATTTTTATTTGCAAATCTGATTAGCCTAGGTGCCGATTTACTTAAGTGATAAGCTGTTTCCTCGGCACGTGTTGAAGTCTCTCCACCGACGTCCATTAAAAACCGACCTCTTGTCTCCTCGTTAAACTCATCTTGTCTCCTCTCCTGCTCATCTGAACACGCAAATGTTGCAAGACAGAAACAATCAATTAGTCAATCACAGAGAGCGTTCACTCACTTCAAACAGGGCTGCGTTTCCCAAAAGTATATCATAGGAAAGCATTGACGTTTTTGGGAACAGAAAAAAACATGTTTGAGTTGCTTCACAATAAACAAATTGAAATTGTAGCCTACATAGTTTGTGTAGTTGCATTTATTTAAATGGAATGTTAAAAGTTCATATTGATCATGTTCTATTTTGTAATGTTAATATAAATCATACACAGTCCGAATAAATAGGTTGCATTTTATGCATGCAACAGCTTGTTACTAGCAGTCCCTTAAGAAAAGGAACTATGATTTTATTAGTGACTGTAGTTTATATTTGTAGATTTCCATATGGTTACCACTACAGTAAACATATTTTAACCATGTGTAAACAAAAATATAACCTAATGAGTTGCAATATCATTACCCATTTTACTGTTAGTAATTTATTAATTTAATAACTTTCATAATCTAAAATTCAGTTTAGAAGTATCGTATTGATATCGACGATACTGGCCTTTAAAAGTATCGGTATCGTATTAAAAACAAAATAAGCGGTATCGCCCATCCCTAGTAACGATGAAACAGGTTAATAATGACGTATTTAAATCGCACCTGAGAGGCGTGTCTCTCCTCAGGGAAAATGGTAGAGTTTCTCAAAACAGCCCTGGTCTTGGATCTGAAGAGACTGAGTTGCCAAATCTTGTTAGGACAAACAAAAACAAGCTCAAAATAAACCTGAATATATCTGAATGTTTTATAAAGTATGGCAATTCGCAACTGCCCACGGCTACGTTTCCCAAAATATCGTAGAAAAAAATCGTACGATAATATTAGAATACATTCATTGATGTTAATTAATTAGAATGAATGAAAAAGGAAATTAAATTATATTTAAGTGGGAAATGTTCCAACGGCTTTGTAGGCTGAAAAATAGGGGGAAACATGTAAGTGACTCGCAAATAGCCATTTTTGGATCTTCTGATGCCAAATTTACATTTACATTTTTAATATAACTCCGATTGGATTCATCTGAAAGAAGGAAGTCATATACGCCTAGGATGGCTTGAGGGTGAGTAAATAATGGGCTAATTTTCATTTTTGGGTGAACTATCCCTTTAAGTTTTGGTGGTAACACTTTATTTTAAGGCCCAATTCTCACTTTTAACTAGTTGCATATTATGATGCACATTACTAGCATATTGGCTGTTTATTAGTACTTATAAAGCTCATATTCATGCCTTATTCTGCATGAACATATTGTAGATCCCTTAATCCTACCCCATACCTCAGTTTAACAAATATCTTAATAACTATTAATTAGCAGCAAATTATGAGTTTATTGAGGCAAAAGTCATAGTTAATAGTAGGAATTGTTTTGGTTACCTGGGCTTTCAACAGAGGGTCTTACAAGTTTTAAAGTTTTAGGAAACATACAGTATGTTAAAAAATACATAGACCTACCAATATGTTAAAAAACTGTTATGCAAGCTAAAATCCATCATCCACTTTAATAACTCTAAAGTGTATTATAAAGTGCATAATCCTTAAAGGTTTAGTTCACCCAAAAATGGAAATTCTGTCATTAATTACCCTCATGTCGTTCCAAACCCGTAAACCCATTGTTCATCTTCGGAACACAAATTAAGATATTTTTGATGAAATCCGAGAGCTTTCTGATCCTCAATAGACAGCAAGGGTCCTACCACGATCAAGGTCCAGAAAGAATAATTTAGTGCACAAAGAAAACAAAAATAACAACTTTATTCAACAATTCATCTCCTCCGCGTCACCCTGGCACCATTTTGGAGAGTACCACAACGTATGTTTGTTTTCTTTGCGCACAAAATGTATTCTCGTGGCTTCATAAAATTCCGATTGAACCACGGATGTCACATGGACTACTTTGCCGATGTTTTTGGTACCCTACCTTTCTGGGCCTTGGTCGTGTAAGGACCCTTGCTGTCTATGGGAGGATCAGAGAGCTCTCGGGAATTCATCAAAAATATCTTCATTTGTGTTCCGAAGATGAACGAAGGTCTTACAGGTTTGGAACGACACGAGGGTGAGCAATTAATGACAGAATTTTCATTTTTGGGTGATCTATCCCTTTAAATCATGTGTATTTTTTTACACTTTTGAATCCTACATTAATATAAACTGATATTAAATATATTAAACAGACTTAAAAATATTTATATGCACTATAGATTAATATTAAATGTATATATGAAATGAAAATGTTAAGAACGCCCCACAAGGATCAGTAATGCCCCCAATTTTATTGTATCTTGTGGGGACATTTTTTTGGTCCCCATAAGAAAAACAACGAATACTACTTTATGTAAAAATGCAGAACATTTTCTATAAGGGGGGGTTAGGGTTAGGGGATAGAATATACAGTTTGTACAGTATAAAAATCGTTATGTCTCTGGAAAGTCCCCCATAAAACACGGAAACCCCACGTGTGTTTGTGTCTGGAGGAAGGAAAAGTGCAGTGATCTCTCCATAATAAGGGAGGATGACGTCGACACAGTCTCTAAAGCTGGGAGTTGAAAAGGTTGCAGAAGCAAGGGCTCCAAGAATAAAACTCGCAATGCTATAATGAGAGATGAAGACAAATGATAACTCGTTTCATATCCGCTCGACTGTCATTACGGAGATCTCAGAAAAAAATCCGTTCTGTGCTCATAAGGATAACAAAGTGACGCACAGAAAAGTTTAAAGAGCAGACTGGAAGAGAGAGAGAGAGAGATTTTCATCTCATTGTCATTGCAGTCGCTACCGGAACGCATTCGTTCGCTGCCGTAGGTATGTGAACCACTGCTGGAAGAAACCGGTGTTCTGTGTGCTGTAATTCGGTTTTGAGATAAAAGTAGGCAGTTTTGAGAGTACATATTTGTTTGGAGTATTTGCAGTTGAAGAGACACCTGATACTGTCATTAAACTAATAGAGGGACAAAGGAACGATACAATTTGGAACGTCGAAGAATTAAAGTTTTTAAATGTTTCTCTGTGTTCTATTTCATATCTTTATCTTATACAGAATGATGTCGAGCAGCAAAACGACTCTTGCTTTCCTCATCTACGGGCTCCTCGTACAATGCAACGTGTTGAGTTACCCCAACATCAGGTACGGAAACTTACCATCCGTCTCACCTAACGCTCGGCAACGATTTGGATTTTGAGGATTTGGTTGTAGCGAAGTTGGACGATAAAACTCTGGCCTATAACGCTATTAAATTAATACATCGGTTTTAAGCGTTTTATTGACAAGTGTCCGATCACAAACATTTGAACAGATGTATTTTTTGTTGGCCGTATGTCTAAATAAGAAATAATAACAAACAAGTTAGTGTTCTATGAGCGTTCTTTGTTTCGCGTTGATTCGAACGATTTGAAAGAACGGCAAAAGTGTGAACGCGCTTTGATTAGAATGTGCAATTGATTTAATTTTATAACGCGATTTTATTATGATCGTCAATAACGTTAAGACATCTTACTCTGCATAATAGAGTGTAAAATACACAAAACTATGTATCACATGTTCCGAAGCAAGAACACAATTAGGACAAAACTTTAAAGCAATTTTACAGAAATGTCTACTATTTTGATGTTATAGGCTACAATACTATGTATTTAAAATATTTAGAGCACGTTTACTTCACAGTAATAGCCTGCGTTAATTACTTGCGAATGAAATTAGTTCATGTCTTGTTACAGAACTGCAGGATTTGACGAGGAGGGAAACTCATTAACGGATCTAACCTTTGACACTGACCAGATCTCTATTCGAAGCTCTCCTTCAGTTACTGAAGACGCATACACGTTTTACAGTCCTCCATCGAAAAGGTGATGGTTCTTTCTTCCAGATCTCCTATTATATTTATAGGCATTCCCCAAATGGGACCCGTTTGTTTATCGGTGTGATTCCTTTGGTTTCATGGTTCTGCTTGCTAAGACAAATCGAGACATTCGCTTGTTTAAGACGTTTGCACACACAAAAAAAGCGATTTGCGAAATGGCACAATCTTTTTGTCATTTTGTCACCCAGAATGGAAAGGCACGCTGACGGGATGTTTAACAAAGCCTACAGGAAAGCGCTCGGTCAGTTATCAGCGCGGAAATACCTGCATACACTGATGGCAAAACGCGTGGGGTAAGAACAGTAACGTTATTTATTTCTCTTCTTCGCTCTCTTATCAGTTAGCCTACTTCACTTCCAACTTTTGACCGTGCTATAAAAAAACGCTATATCAAATTTATATGTCCCGGTTTCAACATTTGTAAGACCTCTGGAAGAATACGGGGAAAATAAGGGTGCGTTCACACAGCAACGCGTTCTTGCTTTTAAAAACCGTTCGATGGAGCGCAACGGAATGCAGAACTCCCGCGAAGTTTTTCAAAAGTGAAACCTTTTTTTTTTTTCATACCAAAGTCTAATCTGAGTGGCTAAAAAAATAGCGGGCGAGACTGATCTGCCAAAATTTTCTGAAACATAGACCAAAATAAAGCATTCTGTGTGAATAGCCCTGTAACTTTCAACACAACTTATTATAATTTCTATAGGGCTATCCTAGAACGTATTTATATCCAAAATATTCCTAAATTAAACGAATTTTTAAGCGACAACTAGATTATTTGTGACTTTGTGACTTTTATTCTAAGCCGATCTTATGAATGTACCTTTCGGAGCGCAACGGAATGCAGAACTCCCGCGAAGTTTTTCAAAAGTGAAACCTTTTTTTTTTTTCATACCAAAGTCTAATCTGAGTGGCTAAAAAAATAGCGGGCGAGACTGATCTGCCAAAATTTTCTGAAACATAGACCAAAATAAAGCATTCTGTGTGAATAGCCCTGTAACTTTCAACACAACTTATTATAATTTCTATAGGGCTATCCTAGAACGTATTTATATCCAAAATATTCCTATATTAAACGAATTTTTAAGCGACAACTAGATGTGATTGTGATTGTGACTTTGTGACTTTTATTCTAACCCGATCTTATGAATGTACCTTTCAATAGCGTATTATTTATACGCAAAAAATGGCTTGCATAGGTTTAAGGGTGTGGGGTAAGGTGCGTATTATATGTAGGCCTATGCCAAAATGCGTATTATATGCACGTCAAACAAGTGCGTATCATATGCACGCAAAAGTCAGTTTCTGCTATAAATATTATGTGAAATACAAAAAAAAAAGTGCTATTTTCATAAGACCGGGCTGTTTTTTTCGCAGTCAGTGTCGACTGTTTCTGTAATATACTCGGTTCTAGAATGCTCTGTCCTTTTTCTCTAACGCAGGGGAGCAAGCATGATAGAGGACGACAATGAGCCGCTCTCAAAGCGCCACTCAGACGGGGTTTTCACGGACAGCTACAGTCACTACCGGAAGCAAATGGCCGTAAAGAAGTATCTGGCCGCGGTCCTTGGCAAAAGGTATAGACAGAGATATAGAAGCAAAGGACGGCGGCTCGCCTATTTGTAGCCTTTTTCAAATGCATCTATCATGTACATGTACAGCTTTTGGAGCAAGTTAGTCACTACTAAGACTACTATGAAGATGTGTCCTTAAGACATTAAGACAAATATTTTGATAATAATATTGTTTTTCTTTTGTACTGAAGCACCTGACAATGCAACAATCTTCCTTGTGGACCAGTCGTTTAGTTTTACCAATACTAACAATGCTATTTATTTATTTATTCATTTATTCATTCATGTTTGTTTCAATACCTTGTCTATTAAATACATAAGTCTGAATGTGATTAAATAAATAGTCTCAAAGACAATCACTACATTGAATGATACCTTCCTTTTCCTCCTGACATTAAGAAAGAAGTTTTTTTATTTACAACAGCCCTGAAGACTTAGATTTGCACCAGTTTCTGCAAGACGATGAGATTGTGGCATTTTTGTTCGATTTGCTGACAGTTGCCTCCTGAATTCCCGGTGAGTTTCTAAGGCTCAATGCCATAGTGCTTTTCTGAGGGGTCTCTCTCATCTCTTCCATGCTTTTACTCGCGTCAAGTTCTTCCCACTGTCATCTTTGGCTTAAATCTCACAAGCCATTAAACACGTTTTCTTTTCTTGCACAAACCTTTCCGAAAAAAAAAGCTCCTTGAGACCCGTTCACACCATGGACAATAACTATGACAAAAGCTGTAACTATAAAGGTTTATTAATTTCCAGTTCTGTGTGAATATGGAAGTCCAAATATTGTTGGAATCACTTTAAGAATGTTTTTTTTTTCAGCTGATGAACAATAAAAACTTTGACAGCCAATCAGAATCCACCTGACTTTGGCGAGCTTGAGCATTTAAAGCAGCAGACAACAAACCTATGAACTATTTTTAATGTGAACTGAACAGGCCTTTATTGTGTATATAAATGTTAATTAAATCTGCATCTTCAAACACTCTGATTCACACAGATGACTCTTTTTGAAACACTGTCCAGTACTTCCTGCTTTTCACTTATTGCATGCAATTGCTCCCCTTTGAAATCTCACAAGCAAGAAAAACTGAAATCCATCTATGAATGCATGTGTAATGTGTATTCGACTTGATTACAATGGTTCAGACATATAAATGTTTCTTTCTTTGTTCTTTTTTTCACAATTTTCTATCTTTCTCACATTGCCCACCTCTCACATCAGTGGCAAATGTCTGTTCTTTGTCTATGACCATAAAGCAGTTAATCAATGGAGACATGTGTCTCTGCATCTTAAAAGTTTTCTGTCACATCTGTGTGGTTATAAGTATCAGTAGGTCATTGTTAGATGAGTTGGGTGTGACACATAACAGATGTATTCTAATAATCCCTTTATGCATGCAAGACAAATAATATTGTGAAAGATAATAAAAGACAATATGTTTTGAGGTAAAACCAACTGTTAAAAGCATTCCTCCAAATTACATCACAGTTTTTGGCAGTGTTATATATGCTTAAGCTTGTTAGTGAGATGTACATGTTTGCATATGCATATTATAATGTGTTTGCATGTAAAAGGGCGAACATGTGAAATCAATCTGTGTTTAATTCTGCATTCTCCTGCAGGTGAGATTGTGGCATTTTTGTTCGATTTGCTGACAGTTGCCTCCTGAATTCCCGGTGAGTTTCTAAGGCTCAATGCCATAGTGCTTTTCTGAGGGGTCTCTCTCATCTCTTCCATGCTTTTACTCGCGTCAAGTTCTTCCCACTGTCATCTTTGGCTTAAATCTCACAAGCCATTAAACACGTTTTCTTTTCTTGCACAAACCTTTCCGAAAAAAAAAGCTCCTTGAGACCCGGTCACACCATGGACAATAACTATGACAAAAGCTGTAACTATAAAGGTTTATTAATTTCCAGTTCTATGTGAATATGGAAGTCCAAATATTGTTGGAATCACTTTAAGAATGTTTTTTTTTTTCAGCTGATGAACAATAAAAACTTTGACAGCCAATCAGAATCCACCTGACTTTGGCGAGCTTGAGCATTTAAAGCAGCAGACAACAAACCTATGAACTATTTTTAATGTGAACTGAACAGGCCTTTATTGTGTATATAAATGTTAATTAAATCTGCATCTTCAAACACTCTGATTCACACAGATGACTCTTTTTGAAACACTGTCCAGTACTTCCTGCTTTTCACTTATTGCATGCAATTGCTCCCCTTTGAAATCTCACAAGCAAGAAAAACTGAAATCCATCTATGAATGCATGTGTAATGTGTATTCGACTTGATTACAATGGTTCAGACATATAAATGTTTCTTTCTTTGTTCTTTTTTTCACAATTTTCTATCTTTCTCACATTGCCCACCTCTCACATCAGTGGCAAATGTCTGTTCTTTGTCTATGACCATAAAGCAGTTAATCAATGGAGACATGTGTCTCTGCAGCTTAAAAGTTTTCTGTCACATCTGTGTGGTTATAAGTATCAGTAGGTCATTGTTAGATGAGTTGGGTGTGACACATAACAGATGTATTCTAATAATCCCTTTATGCATGCAAGACAAATAATATTGTGAAAGATAATAAAAGACAATATGTTTTGAGGTAAAACCAACTGTTAAAAGCATTCCTCCAAATTACATCACAGTTTTTGGCAGTGTTATATATGCTTAAGCTTGTTAGTGAGATGTACATGTTTGCATATGCATATTATAATGTGTTTGCATGTAAAAGGGCGAACATGTGAAATCAATCTGTGTTTAATTCTGCATTCTCCTGCAGGCTTTGTGACACAGGAGGCAGCGAGCGGCTTGGGTGCCTTTGCTTCATCTTTAAAATGGCCACCAATTTCAGATGGCACATTAGTGGCCCTCCAAATGCTGTAATCACCTGCTCACACATCTCCTATTTCTCACATAACATACCTTGTTCAAATGCCACCTGGCTTTCTGGTTATTCGATTTAACTTCTCTATGCATAGTGTGCTGTAGCATTTATTAAACAATCTCAGCCTTGAAATTCATTTTGTGTGCAGAGACTGATAGTGCCCAAAGCCTTACTTAAACATTAAGATAAATCTCTGTCTTGTGTTGATCATTAGTACAATAACACATGGGAGCCACACAAGGGCACCATTATATAGGTAAGAAAAAGAAAAAAAAAAAATTCTGTGTTGTAAGATTTGTATAAATAAATTTTTGTAAACAACAATTTCGTCTAATCTTTGATGATTATGAAGAAAACAAAGTCTCCAATAACACAAATATCATAAATATATGGATACATGTACAATATACAGTATATAACACACCTGCAAGTAATGAAAACATTTAGAAAGATCACGCCTTCACAAACAAAATGTGATATGCCATCAATAAATATAAAATTCAGAAAATGTGATGTCAGATTATTTAAATAAATAAATAGAAATATAACCCACGCTCTCAGAAAAAAGGTACGAAAGCTGTCACTGGGGAAGTACCTTTTCAAAAGGTACACTTTTGTACCTTTTAGGTACTAATATGTACACTTTAGCTACTAATATGTACCTTTAAGGTACCAATATGGGACGCTTAAAAGGGTTAGTTCACCCAAAAATGAAAATTAGCCCATAAATTACTCACCCTCAAGTCATCCTAGGTGTATATGACTTTCTTCTTTCAGACGAATCCAGTCGGAGTTATATAAAAAAAATTGTATTTGATCTTTCAAGCTGTTTCATGGCACTCAGCGGGTGTTGCATGCATCAGTCCAAAAGCAGTTAAATAAAATGCGCCCATCAATAAAAAAAAAAGTGTCTCACACGGCTCTGGGAGGTGAACAAAGGCCTTCTGTAGCGAATCGATGTGTTTTTGTAAGAAAAATATCCATATTCAAAACATAATAATCACTTTAATGTAGCTTGCGCTCACTGTTGAACACGGAAGCAGCTCCGGGAGGATGACGTATGAGGTCGGCGTTGCGCATACACCTAGGATGACTTGAGGGTGAGTAATTTATGGGCTAATTTTCATTTTTGGGTGAACTAACCCTTTAAGATTT